ATAGTATGCATGCTTTTGAATTAGATCGATATATAGCTCATGTTAACGATATTACTTATGGCTAATTTCAAAGAGGAAAATTTTCTGTACAGTTATATCGTCGCTCGTCAGTGGCGCACCCAGGGGCAGTTTTGGGGGTTAACCCCCTCAGGGCATATAAAGTAAAAAATATATAAAGAATAGTAGGAAAATGTGGACTGAGAGTATTTGAGCGCAAAATACTAAGGAAGATATTTGGACCAACCCAATGCAGCGATGGTTCGTGGAGAATTAAAATAAACCACGAGCTGGATGAACTAATGCAGAGCGCAGATATTGTTAGATTTGTAAAGTCACAAAGACTAAACTGGCTTGGTCACCTAGAAAGAATGCCATGAACATCAGGCAGTGGCGAAGGAAAGTATCCGATAGGGCAGAATGGAAGAACATTGTTAAGCAGGCCAAGACTCACAAAGGGTTGTAACGCTATTAGAAGAAAAAGAAGAAAAAGAAGAAGAAGAAGAAGAAGATGATGAAGAAGAAGAAGAAGAAGTAGGAAAATGTAACTTGTCTTTCACACACAATACAAAAATCCTAAACGCTAATTTAATAATTAAATATCCTGTAACGACTTGCACATGTGAAAGGTTATTTTCATCGCTGAGAATACGCAAGACTTATTTAAGAAATTGTATTAATGAATAAAGACTAAATGGTTTAGCTTTTATATTTATCCATCATAAGATTCAAATAGATGAAGAAGAGGAAGATCAAAGAAAATATGTATTTGTATGTTTCGTGGACTTCGAAAGGGCCTTCAATAAAGTACAGCGTGTAAAATTAATACAAATACTGAAAAATATCAGAATATGTGACAGGGATATTCGTGTCATTAAAAATTTGTACTGGAGTCAAACTGCCATCGTAAAAATTAGAGATAGATACACCGTTGGAATCTCAATACAACGAGGAGTCAGACAAGGTTGCATTTTGTCGCCAACATGCAGCAATGTTTACTCGGACCAGGTATTTAAAATGAACTTGGAAGACAACCACATGGAATAAAAATTAGCGGGGAACTACTTATTGTGATAAGATATTCAAACGATACAGTAATTCTGTCAGATAATATTGAAATTCTCCAAATTCTGCTTGATCGTATTCACGAAGTAGGAGAGGAAATGGGCATTAAAATAAAGTCAAACAAAACCAAATTTTTAGTGTTTAGTCGTGACCCAGATTCCAGTGCAAAGCTTCAATTAAACGGAGTACAAGTAGAGAAAGTTCACAAAATGACATATTTGAGAAATGTGATATCGGACCAACTAGGACATAGAAATAAAACGTAGAACAGCAATGATTAAAACAAATTTTTTGAAGATGAAGTCATTTACTACTACTACTACTACTACTAAGGATTTCCACAGTTTTCACTGTCTTCCTTCACTCAACCGTTTTCTCCAATTTTCCCTGTCATTCCAGTCTCCATCTCGCAGGTTTCTTTTCTCCATAGCCTCGTCGATTTCGTCTCTTAATGACCTTCGGGGTCTTCCTTTCTTTCTTCTTCCGATCGGGCTCCATTCTGTAATTTTGTTTATCCAGCGTCCTCTGCCCGCTCTTCTGACGTGGCCGTACCAGGATAGTCTCTTCTCCTCTATATAGTCGATTATGTCTGATTGCACTCCCATTCTCCGCTTAATCTCTGCGTTTTCAATTCTGTCTCTTTTTGTAAGTCTACAGCTTCTCCTCAGGAACTCCATTTCTACTGCTCTTATTCTACCTCTATTTCTCTTGTTTATTGTCCAGTTTTCGGACCCATATGTCAGGATACTTCTTGTCAGGGTATTATATATTCTCTTTTTTGTCTTTATCGTAATGTTCTTATCCCACAGCACTGAATTTAGTTGTCTTATACAGTTTCTTGTTTGTCTTAGTCTGTTGTTTATATCTTCTTCTGTTGTTCCGTGGTTCGATATTATGGTTTCTAAATACTTGAATTTATCTGTTCCATTTACTTGTCTTCCCTCGTCTATCTCTAGGTTTCTCATATCCTTGTTTTCTGTTGTTAGGTATTCGGTTTTCTCTCTTCTCTAAAGTCTATTTCTTTCTCTCTAAAGTTTATTTCCATTCTGTTGTTTTTATATTGATCTTCTAGTTTTCTGAGCATAAAGCTGAGATCTTCTTCATCTTGTGCGATGACTACTTGATCGTCGGCAAAACTTAAGGTGTATAGGTATTCGTCTCTTACTGGTATGCCCATTCCTTCGCACTTTCTCCTCCATGGTTTGAGTGTCTTTTCCAAGAATATTTTAAACAGAGTAGGGGACGTAGCACAGCCTTGTAGAAGTCCTTTTGTCGTCTTAAATGCATTGTAGGCTTTAGTACATTCCACTTTATACTTCCACATTTAGTAGCTACTTTGTTTTCTTTGTACAGTGCTTTAACTGCTTTTATTAGTGTTTGTCGGATTCCGAAATCATTCGTTGCTTCCCATAATTTGAGTCTAGGTATTGAGTCGTATGCTTTCTTTAGATCAACAAACGCCAGATGGACCGGTCTACCTTTTGCCATTTTCTTCTCTATCAATTGTTCTAATGTGTACATATTATCTAGGCATGATTTTCCTACTATGAACCCTGCTTGATCTTTGTATAGTGCAGAAGTGTGGCCGCTAAAAGTATCGATCATGAACAAATGTGGGTTCATAGACGAATGCTGAAGATACCTTAGACAGCAAAGAAAACTAATGAAGAAGTAATAAGGAACGTCAACAAAGATAGAGAACTGCTAAAGTTTCTGCTAAACTGCTAAACATCGAAAAAGTCTTATCTGGGACATATAGTAAGGGAAGTCTATATAAAATATTACAACTGATCCTTAAAGGCAAAATGGAGTGCCGTAGAGGTGTAGGAAAGAAACGGGTTTCTTGGTTGAAGAACATTCGTGAATGGACTCTGGGATTTAAATTATTATTTTTCATTATATTTAGATATAGATACCTAATGTTAGGCTCATGGTCATGATAAGAGTAAACAGAACGAGTCTGTTGCAAGTAGCTTGCGCCTACAGGACTGTATCTGCGGCGACCTTGTGGGCTATCACGGGTTGTGTTATTCTGCAAGTGTTAGCAGCAGAAAGGACACATCTCTATTGCATGCCATACACACTACGGTTTACCGGAGAGGTCTACCTGTGCAGGCATGCCTGCGCAGGTAGACCGGAACGTGTGTGGGAATAGACCTGTGCAGTTTTTTGAACCTGTACAGGCGACCGCAGCAAAATGAAAAATCAATTTTTTCGAGTTACACCGTACGATGTACCTGTGCGTCTGTGCGTGTACTCCGGCCGCCTGCGTAGGTCGCGTCAGTTGTTTTCTAGTGTTTCTCTGGGAAAGTCGTCTTGTCGTTCGCATCGTATTGTCACACCACTCTTTAATTAACCCCAGAAAATGGTGCCACCAGTTTCAACTAAAAAAAAACGCTTGAAGAATTTATCGAAATTTATAGAATTCATCCATGTCTTTGGGAAATCAAAAACAAAGATTACAATATTCGAGATGAAATAATTGCTAAGAATTTTAAATCCTCATAACTTCTTCCAGTTGCGAGAAATCTCAACGTAACTAATAATCATGTGCAGAGCAGAGAGAAAGGAGCATTTGACAACAGCCATAAAAAATGAAGAAAGAGAAATATCAATGGAAAAACGGCAAGAAGAGTGGAACAACACAAAAGATGTTGCCCAGTGGACAAAGATGCTGTTACCGAGCCTAGGAACTGAGTAGATTGTCTGTTGTAGGGCGTATCTTCATAGGTTCCGAACCTATACACACAGTCACACAGTCACATAATGTTGGAGTGTAATAGATGTACAGTGGAGAGAAACGGAATGTACAGAGAAATAGGTATGAACTCTGTGACTGTGAGAGAGATGATCGTAAAGATGACGCGAAGTAGGGAGGGATTGAATAGTGTGGAAGAGTGAAAGAAAAAGAAGAGAAACACCAACCGGACCAACGACAGAGATAAGATCTAGATAAGAGAAGGGAGTATTCCAAAAATGTCGTCAGCCTTACAGCGGCCACCCAACTTTCGGAGTACGGTACGTGCAACAATCAACTGCACACAAGGAGGAGAAGGTGATTTTAGTTGGTAGGAAGGATAACAGATACTTGAATATTTGGCACTGTTATCTTTAGTACTTTAAATTAAACTAGAATCCAAATTTTAAGGACCCAAAATGGGGGTAGCATAAAAAAATTTCGGTGCCCAACCAACCCCCCACCAGGAAAATTCTAGGGGCGCTACTGTCACTCGTTACATATTTGTGGCGACATGAAAAATTTTATGAATTTCTTATCTAAATTTAATTATATAAAAGTTATATTGTTGTGAAGGTAATCGTTGTTTTATCTACAATATTAAAAGGGGCGCCAGACTTTTACAGTTCTATCAAGAACAAAATCAATTATGCAAATATGGAAATCTGGCTTTATGGAAATCTATTTTTAATATTGAAAATATGGCTTAAATTTTAATTCTATTCACTTCTTATTTTATTTGTCGGTACAATTATCGGTTCAAAAATTGTATTCAAGTGTGACAAAAAGAGTTATCTTATATACTAAAACGCTAAGCCCTTTTCTTGTCCACCACTTTACTCAAAAACCATATTAGATAATTAAAATATTTTTTCGGAATATTATTAGTATTACGTATGAGATTGTCAAGATATACTTTTGGTACAAAAATTCACTTGGGAAATGGTAGTCACAGTAAACAATTGGAAGAGTCCATTTACGTGACGAGGGGTGATCTTCATTAAACATGTAAACATTTTCTTTTATTAAAATTTATAAAAAAATAATAAATAAATAACAAGATATCATTTAAATTTTAAAAATACAGAAAACAGCATTAAGTACTTTTTTATATTCTAAATCGATGAATATAAATATTTTCGAACTATATCAACTACTATAAAAAAAATTGTATACACAGATCTGTAATTTTGGTGGAATGATGCGACATCCAGTTCTTAAATTCCGAGAAAAATTCAGACAAGAAGATGGACAACTATTTTATACCTGGGAATTCCTGAACAGTTACGGTAATTATTTATCGTTGCAGCTGTAAGTATTCATTCAACTAAACTTTATTTGGTATTGAATGAGAGTGATTTTTACGACCATGATTCGTAACTGAATAGCTAAATAATACTTCGCGCTAAAGGTACAGAAATAAATATTTATTACAAAAATAGTTAGAATTTTTCTAAATGGGCCTACAATTATTTTAAAAATAAAACAAATGATAAGAGCCTGATAGCTCAGGGGATGGAGTGTCTGACTATCACGCAGAAGACTTGAGATTGATCCCAGCGCTGGCGTAAACATCCAAATATTTTTAAAATATTTGCAGGTACCAGGTCTACTCAGCCTGAATAAAATGAGTACTTTGGCAAAATAATAATAAGCGGTTGAAGCGTAGTACTGGCCCTGTTATCTTCCTTGTATACCGTAGGTCCAAGAGATAACAGACAATCCTGCTAGAATCCAGTGACAAATTTAGACATTTGCCTTGGGGGAACTTCCAATGACACCTTCCAATACCAACCATTGGCGGCCCTTGAGGTAGTGCCATAGAGCCATAGCACTACCTTGCTAACTATGCAGAAATATATTTTTTGAGTCACTCATATATTTATATTTTATAAGAGTCACTTTCATAGTGACTCTTATGAAAAGAAAAAGATTTTACGAGTCTGCTATGTGAGTGACAGAGATAGATATATGTTATATATTTAGTAACACGTTTAAATGAGACTACTCCATCCAAGCACGAGATCTTGAGATGTAAGTTTTAGTACATGTTATCTATTTCGAATTTATTTACGCCTTCGCTCACTGTTATTGTGTTTATTATCTAAAATAATATTTTGATTATTTCGTACGTTTAATTTATATATTGACACTGAATCAAATTAATATCTCCTTAAATTAAAACTCCTTTGGTGGTTTTTCGTTAGAAAAAAAAAACTACAAATTGAAGAACTCGGTTGGCCTTACCCGATTTACAAATTGAAAAACAAAGTGGAAGTGGACTAAAACTTCAGTGTGGTAAGTTTAATAAAACTATTTAGGATAAAAATAGCTGGTTGTGTGGTTGCGAACAAACTAATAAACTGTTTTGTTATGTATACGTTTTGTTTGGAGGTGACGAGACTTGGTCAAACAAAGGCATCGATGATCTTGTTCATATATGAAAGAAAATGAAATCCCATAAATTTTTTCAATTGAAAAATTATGTCATTTTTTCGATGTATTACTAACTATCCTTCTACCACAATTTTACGATTATTTCCCACCCTTCAACCCCTTCTACGTCCTACATTTTAACCCCACTCCATTACAAATACAGACAGTTTTAAAACAGCAGAGAAGAAAGACTCTCTCTTGATTGTCGACTGCCGCTAGGGACAGTCGTTCTCTCTTGCCTGTTACCTATCGCTTGGTACAGACGTATCTCTATTGTCGTTTGACTATCGCTGAGGATAGTCCACACTCTCACACTCTCTCTCTCTCTCTCTCTCTCTCTCTCTCTCTCTCTCTCTCTTCGCTTATCAAAAAGAACAGCATCTCTCTTGGCTGTTTTCTATCGCTAAGGAGACGCTTTATACTGTTACCTGCCGCTAACTAATTATCTCTCTCCCGCTTTTAGTTACGCGAAAAATACCGCAAATACTATTTTAAATCGTGTAAACACGCAAAGTGTGTTATAACTCGTGATATCAGTGTTAGTACCGCGAAACACGGGTTTAGAAACCAGTGCTCGGACAGATTCCGCATAAGAAGAAAAACCGCGAGTGTGTGGAGCAGAAAAAATATTGGTAAGACTTTGTATAAGCTTAAGTGCACATGAATAATGTTTTTAGCTTTTGAATGCTTGGTAAGTTAACTATAAAAACCCAATTAAATTCAGCTTGTCATAATACTCTAATAAAACACAATGAACAGGTGGATAAGAATCGATATGACTTGAACCAAATTATAATGTGTAAGGTTTTGTGGAACTTTTGAGTTAGCTCTTAAAGGTCACGACGAAATCAAAAATTCAGAAAACAGAGGCATATTTAAGGAGTTGGTCAATTTTAGCGCAGAATTGGACAACAACTTGAAGGTTCATATTCAAAGTCCCAAATATTTTAAAGGTATCTTAAAAACAACCCAAAATGAACTCCTTGAGGGCGTGTTGGATGTTTACCACGAGAAAATTAAGAAAGAAATTGAAAATATCTCCTTATGTTGCAGTGCTTGCCGATGAAACGACAGACGTTGCTGGTGAATTTTAATCAGTTTTACAATATTTGTATAAAGGACGACCAGTTGAGAGATTTTATGTGCTGGACGGGCATGATGCTGAGGCATGATGTTGAGGAAGACCTACAGATTCCAAGGGTTAAAAGATGGAGTGGAGTTGCCAGGAATCGACAGGAGCGGAGATCTTTTTGTGATCAGGCCAAGATCCACAACGGATTGTCGAGCCACTTATGATAATGATGATGATGCACTGATTCTGTTAAAGTGAAAAAAGATTTGGAAAATTTTAAAGCAGCAATTCAAGGTATAAGAGAGCACATAGACGTCATTATTGATAACATTCGAGAAGAAATAAATACGTCACAGAAATAAACGGATAATGATAATGATGAACCAATACAAAAAGGCGAGAATTGAAGGGGACATGAGGAGTAGAAAACGGGAAGCCTTCTAGATATGCGATGCAGTTTTCTTACAAATAAAAACAAGGTTGACCTCCTCCGGACATTTAGTTGCTTTTTATTTATTTATGTCTGAGAAGTTTTCTGCTTATCAGCATCAGTTCTACGAATCATTTCTTAATGAAACGGGCAGAAAACTTTTATTTTTAAACGAAACTCGGCTTACCTAAAAATGAATTACAAGTACTGTATCAGCGAGACGAATTAAGTACTACCTCTGGGGCTATTCCGTACCATCAGTTTTATTAAATGATGAAGGTTTAAAATGAACATTTAATAAAATATTAAACTTTTAAGTATATTAATTACTATTCATATGTCAACATCTGAAGCAGAAAGTTGTTTTTCGAAGCTAAAACTAATTAAAATATTTCATAGAAATACCATGAAAGAAGAACAACTTAGTGCTTTAGGTATGCTATCTTCAGAAAAACATTTTGTAAATGGCATTAATAATTTTAATAATAAAGTGGTTGGAAACTTCACAACCATAAAAGAAAGAAGTATGGACTTCATATATCGGAAACTTTAAAAGTGATATTAAACCATTTTGTGCGTGCGGCACTTTGATTATGGACATCATGAATCCGTCATCAAAAATTTAGACAGTTGCCCGAATTGTGGCACTACCTTCTTAATGTAATACGCGCCACCACTGACACCAACCAAAAGACATAAAAAAGATAAACATAAACGACATAAAAAAACATAATATACGAGGTTTTTTTTTTAATTTTGTATCTTTTTCGAGGGAAAATTTCCCATTTTCTCTCCCGTGTATCTGCCCCTGCTAGAATCCCAAAGCCGCGCTAATGGTATAAAGGGAGACAATTATTATAAACGAAATTATAAAAACTGTCTGTTCTTATTTGGTATAGAAAACTGTTTAAATCATATCATGGTGAATAATAAACGTCTCCAAAGCTCTTTAAGTAGTATTAAGGAAATTTTCGCAAGATTCATTACAGTTTAGTAGCGAGTGCAAAGACCAACAATGCTAAAAATTTTGTTGGAACATGTCCTTAAATAACTTAAACCAACATAGGTCTAGGACCTAGCTAATTTGACTAAAGATCATTCACAACAAGTTAAACAAAATGTGCGAAGATTCGGATTACGAACAACATAGATTTAGAGATCGAATGGAGTCTGTAGAGGCTTTTTTCTTTTAGACATGGATAATCTCATATTAGGACTATTAATACCTAATTATTGACGTGATTTGGCCCATCTTGACGTAGCACCTTTGATATAACTGTTTATAGTTTCTAAATATAGATATAAATAATTTCCAAACAAAATCTGTTGCAAACGAACTTTCCAAAACTGGCAAAACATCGGAAAAACCATTCTGCTGGACTAACCCAAGAATATTCAAATTATTATTGATTCCGAAGAGTTCCATATAATTATGCAATGAGTTTACACAAACACGAGTGCGTCAAAAATACGTGTTTTGAATGACGAAATATGCATTTGTAATTATTTTTATGGGTTTATCACGACAATGTTTATAATACTCATAAATGTAATTGTTTTAATATAATGTAAATGCTTTTTGAGATATGGTGTTACCAACTGAAATCCAATCAGTCTCGGACTGAATTGGCCAAAAAACTTAATAAAAAAATGCAATTGTACAGTTTGATAGTACATAAATCAATAAAATAAAATCGTCAAGTCACGCAGAATATAAAACTACAAAACTCATAATAAAGTGTAAGATGTGGACCAGGACACATATAAATATTCCCGGATTAATAATTTAATATATGTGGCAGGTTTGTTTGAGTTCAAACGGTTTCCAAGAAAGACTCAAAACAGAAAATAATTTGGCAACATTTTTGCCGATCTTAAAAGCAGAAGAAGATAGATGAACACATTTAAAAGAATATGAAGAAGGCTGGTCTTCTTCTTTTGGTACCTATTCGTTTCAAATATTGGCGATCATTATTTTATTAATAGATGCTTTGAATAGATTACTTGTTGTGTAGAACCATTTCCTTAGATTATTTAACCATGTAATTTCTTCTCCAAATTCCTCACTTTCCGAATACTTTGCCCTAAAGGATTATTTTCAGCAATCTGTATTTAGCGCCGTATCGTATACATCACTTCTCTTTCTTTCCCCATTCTTCGTAGTACAATCTCGTTGGTTATCTTGCCCATCCATGATATCCTTAGAAATCTTCTGTATAGCCACATCTCGAAGGCTTCAAGTTTTTTCTCCATCGCTTCAGTGAGTGTCCAGTATTCAACTCCATAGAATAATATCGAGAAGATATAAAGAAGAGGGCTTGTAAAAGCAAAAAAGAAATGGAAAATTGTAGTGTATAGGGGGAGATATTTTGATCACTTAAATAAAAAGATCTAATCAGGTAACAAACGCATATCCGAAGCAGATAATTTTCTGCATTAGAAGCCTAACAGTATAAGTAATGAAAAAAAGAGTTAAACAAGAAGTACTAAGAAAGAAGAACAGTGTCTGGTAAATTGCAGATACTAAACGGCTCCAAAGGATACTAAAAGACAAACAGTGGGTGAAGCACGTAACTGAATTCTTGACAGAAATACGAAAAAATTTTCTAGAGAATGAGCAGAACATTCAACTAACATGTGAAAGGATGAATTTATGTCAGGAAGATGTAGAAAGAGCTGTAAAATGAACAAAACTGTCAAAATCTCTAGGTCTACGTAAAATAAATGCAGAACCAGTACGGTTTGACCCAGTAAAATTACTAGAAGTGTCCTAAAAACTTTTTTAACAATGCTTAAATGAAAAGGATGTTGCAGAAGAATTTGCCTGTCCACAAAAACATACAAAATCCGATGTAAAGAAGCAACTCAAATAGATTTTATGAGAAGGAGTTCAAAAATAGGTCAATTCAAAATGGGTATATGTATAAGACATGAAATGGATACCGGCAGAACGAAGGAAAAGAAGTCGACGAAGTTGAAGTTGAAGAGACGAAATTAATGATATGACGGAAAGAAACTTAGTAGAGGATGGTGCCTTAAATAGAAAAGAAGTCACTTCTCAAAAAAATAATTAATTAAATTAAATTTGTAAGTTTTTTATAGTTTCATGTTAGGTCCAAAACGACAAATGCCGATATGGATGTCAAGCCCAAAAAACTAAATTTAAACAATTTAGGGGACTAATATTGAAGAAGAAACAATACTAGAAGAAAGAAGAAGAAGACAAACAACACTTATTGAAATGGCGATACCTAACACCATTAATTTGCGTTTTAAATACAACGATAAGATCCCAATGGAGAATGAAAAGTACCCAAACAGTACCTATTATTCTCTCTACTACTGGCGTTATTCCCAAAAACCTCTTAGAGAACATAAAATAGCTAGGTCTAAATGAACATTTCTATAAGGCCATGCAGACAGTTGTACTCCCCGCGACGTATAGATGCGTATGAAAATTTTTGGGAGATACTCCAGCATATCAAGTCACCTAGGGCTTGATAACACGGTAAGAGTCATACTAGAGCTCAATCCTTTTGATACCCTAGGTATCTGCAATGAATGAATGAATAAATGTTTCCTTTAGAGGGAGTGTGAGCCGTACGGCTTAATCTGGGATAATAATAATATATATAAAGCCTAAATATGGACCACAGATGTAGGGTATACAGAAAATATACTTTAAATGGGTCGTTTGGGTTCCTCACCCACTCAAAGGACCTCTTTGAAATCTAGAATAACTTTAATAACGAATTTATTATATTAGAAGAAGTGTAAGAGTGGCACTAGTTAATACCAAAGCCAAAGAGTGAGAATAATTTAAGATATGTTCAATGCCGAATACAAAGAATAGCTGAGATGAAAGTTTCTGAAAGGAGTAGAAGAGGATGAGCAAAAAATAAGCAATTAATATTAGTCTGACCCGATACACGTGACGCACAAAAATAAAGGCAAAAGAGAAACAAACTAGCTTTATGGTACAATGATTCTAGAAAAGGCGGGAAATAGCAGAGAATGATGCAACATTTACCATATTTCATATAAATGCTTACTTGTTAATTTAAAATACACCAATAACAATTATAAAACATTGTAGCAAATAAAAACGACAATATTTTGTAAATGAATTTAAAAAAAAATACAAAAACTTACCGTTGAGTTTGATTTTTTCCTCCGCAGATGCGATTTCTTGAAAGTCGCCCGGTTTTTTCATCTTGAAACGTTTGGATGCCTCACTACATTGGTCCAGAACTGATCAGATTAATTGGCCCGCGTCTCGCCGGCTGTTTTTTGATGTCCTTTGATTATTAACACGGTTCCTAGACGCTCGTGATAATATCAATTCCATTCAATTCAACGTCGTTAACATTATCAGAGAGAGTTCAAGCTGATTGATAATCTATTTAAAGAAAATATGTTAAAACATGGTTAAAACCGTTAAATCACTGCATTCTATTGAAATGCAGCGCGCGATTTGATATAAAGTGCGATTAGCAATAAAAAAATCGTTTCGGTTTATTTTGCTGGATTGTGATTATTTGCGACAACTTATGACGAATTTGCC